TGTATTCCTCCCGCCCTGAATGCTGTCTGGGTACCTGCACACAACAAGTGAATGTATCCGACCATAGGCCTGGGCGCGGTACCTTTGACTCTACAGTTGACTTTGATTGTTGAATTTCCTTTGCGCCGCGTTCGGTCACACAGCCTCCTCGACAGACTGAGGCTGGGCATGTCTCGGTCACATAGCCCAGCACAAACAACTGAGTCTGTGTTTTACCGGGGGCAAAGTTCTGAGCCCCGGTCTGCTGCTGAACAGGGTTACTGCAAAGGTGCCTTACCCCTCTTTGGGCTGCATCCCCGTGGTGACCAAGTGGACTGGACCCCTCGCCTTGTTTTGGCCATTCATGCCATACACTTTGCTGGTGCACCTTTCAAGCCGGTCTATCCACACATCCAAGACCCTCTCTCATCCTTATAGACGGAGTCGGACCTTTCCCTTGACTCCTAGTCTGGTTGCCCTTCCGCATAACAGTCGCCTCAGCCTAACTACAAACGACCAACACTCCTCCCGGTGGTTTCATGACCGTCTATTTGCTCTGTCTGTACCCAAAGATCGTCCTTCCGTCTTCCGTCGATCCCGGGGTGACTTCTTCTTCCTCCTATCATCCGAGCCCTCACACACGTTACTTAGCTCGGCTTCGTAGTCCAAGCCTTTTTGAAGAAGAAGAATCGTATGTAGCCTGATTGGAACCACTTCCTACTCCAGTAGGTAAGTATCTAATGTGAGTAACGAAGCGAACAGGGTTGTCGCACAACGACCCCAGCAACACAACTAGTTTCCCCTGTAATGTCGGAGAACTTATGAGTTGCAAGCCGTACCTTACAACATTCTTGTCTCATCTCTTCCCCTGAGAACAGAAATTGATCGAGACACTTGGCCCTAGCCCAAGAATGAACATCACGGTTGTGTCCATTGCCCTGTGCCTACCCATCCAACCACCTTGCCGCAACAACGTTTTCTCCCTTCTCTAGACGTGTGTCTCTGGCTGTGGACCAACCACTTGTGTCTGCTGCACCGGTGACTGAACCGGCGGAACAAGTTGCCTAACCTGCGGCACAAGCCGCTTGGCTGGCTGCCGCACTGTAGTTGCAACAGTTGATATGGGGACAGATGAAGCAGATCCTGGAGTCTGCCACCACTATCTACTGATGAACCGCCTGCTGGAAATATGCCGTACTGAGGTACCAAGAGACCGCTCATAGGCAGCAATGACACGGACGCACCGGCCACCGTTGGGGGAACTACAACGGGTTGCGTAGGTCTCACCGTAGGCTTGGGGCCTCGCAGCGCAGCCAAAATTTAATTCTGACCGGCTATCAATGCGGCCAGCATTTCCTAAGACATGGCCTGTACTTCGGCCACACTGACTGGACTGAAGTGTCCGCTTATTAGGGGCTTCCACATCCAAAGCTTCTAACCTGTTTGGTTCCACCTCCCTCACCTCTAGTCTAGGCTTTCTTCTTCTAGCTCTATCTCGATTATCCTCTACCTCCTGTATCTGGCGCTGCAACTCTGTGTGAAGGGCATCTGTTTCTCTAATCTCAACGTCCTCCATTGACAAGGGTTGTTGTTGGCGGTCCTGCACGCCAAAAGACTGACTAGTGAAAGACCTTGATATGCCCTAACGTTAACCTATCGAAGAGGCCTGGGAAGAGACCGGGGACATTGCAGAAACAGTAGCCTTTGCTGCCTCGGCCTTGGCTCTAACGTGCGCTGCTGCTACAGCTGCTAGTGCCATCTCTGCGTTGGCTGCTGCCACCTGTATATTATGCGAGTTCTTCCTTTCCTCAGATGGTGTTCGTCGTCTCCTTTCCTCGGCTGGCTTTAGCTCCAAGCAAGCGGTCGACCGACAAAGTGCCTGTCCACAGACAATCCTCCCCTCATCCTAGTCTGTGTCTCAACCTCACTGTCATCTTCACGCCAGAGCTACACGTGGCATGCAATCTGAACTAGTGTCCTCGCTGGGACCTACCGCAGCGTGGCACCCAACCGTCTAATAAATAACATTAAATATACGGTCCAGATCTATCAGGAAGCAGTCAAGCGGTATAACAGCAAATAGTTTCAGACCCCTGCAAACAATTCTACTCCTACCTTTGACTAGTTTGAAACAGATGCTTGCAACAAGAATAGACAACTGCTCTATCTGCAACAGTCTGTTAGCTGTTAGCAGTCCGTGACAGCTAACGAATCAAAAATAAAAATAAAATAATTTGTTGAAATGCATGCTGAATGGAAATATTACAATATTGAGCAATTACTGGAATCTTCCCTCCCCCTATATCCCTCTTGAGCCGACTTTGTGTCGACGTCCTGTAGCTCTGGTTTAGACGGCGTGTCTAAAGGTGTGCAATCTGGCCCACCCCTGTGCCCCAAGTCTATGCTAAGCCTGCCAGCCCTGCATCTTCTCTATCCTCGCATGCAACGAGCCTTACTTCCGGTCGACCTGGATGATCAAGAGGCAGTTTAAGGACAGCCCCCACGGTCCTCAGGAATTATTTAACGTCGCAATCAGGACGACGATCACAACCAGGGTCCAACAGGAACCCGCCAGAAATATTTATAGACGGTCTGATGAGCGTCTCTTATAGGGCTGGCATGCCCAGCATGACCTCTATTGCGCAGCAAGCAGGACCAAGGACTTGAGGCAAAGCATGCGTGTACTAGTCCCAGCGGGTTGGCATGGTGACCGTGACCCGAGTGCTTCGTCCAGGGCCCTTCAGAGGCAACGCCCGTCTCCCACCAGCTTGCTCCCCAGGAAGAATGTCGACTCTCAAGGTTGA